AATGTAAAATGTGGCAAAAAAGAAAATTACTTACCAAACAAAAGGGCACTTATTCTGCATGACATTCTGAAGACAGAATATTTGAATTAAAAAACAAATCTGTCGCAGGAGTCGCTATGAAAATATTTTGATATGGAAAATACTGAACATCCTCTCCCAGTTGTCGACGAATGGAAAAAATGCTCAGCCGATAAAAGCAGTTGGTGTTCTCGAATCAGCGAGGAAAAAGTCGGCTATTTTGGCTGTCATGTTTTTTGGAGAGTGAGTTATTTTTCTGACTGGTTGCGTACATAGTACTTGCGAATCGAGATTTTTCGGCATTTTCTTTCTGTCTCCGATATTCGAGTCTGAACTTAGTGATTTATTCTCTGTGACATGGAAATAATCTGCAACAAACATTTCCTTTGCAATCCCAGATTGCTTACAATTATTTATCGTTCAAATATTTATTTTTAGCAATAATAATTAAAAAAGGTTTTCAAATATTTACTGATAATTTTACACTTTTATTGATTTCTTATTTATTGATTTATCTCTATTATTGTCATTAAAGTGATACTAAGTCTACATGAAACATTTGATAACTGTTCACTCCAACATCAAGAGGGCCACCCACGGTGGTAAGGTCAAGTAGAGAGACCAGATTGAATGCAACCAACCCCCGAAGATCCCAACAGTAGAATAGGCAAGGAACTACATGGTTTCAATGGAAAAACCAGCAGAAGAGGGCATCACCAATTGAATTGGCATAAGACAGATCTTGACAGACCAACAGCCTGAGGCAACCAGGTTTATCAGATCTCACCTGTCTCAATACCTTTTGAGCTTCAAGGGAGGTGCTTCTGACCAAGTGTAAGGGCTTCTCTGTTCAGTCAAATGAATACCAAGCATTTCCTGTATTTTTGTATTTATGGTAAGGTTCACCAGAGACCACTCAAGGTAGAGGGTTACATTAGGAGGCAATTTGTACAGATAGGAGGGGAAGATAATGGTTAACCCTAGCCTTGAACAAGTTAAAATTGTAGTAATCAGAAAAACATGCTCTTGGGAGTCAGTTCCACAGAGCAGTGGTTCACTAGAAGAAACTGTTTAAGTAGAACTTACTTCTCACTGATGGAATACAGAGCAAATGTGGGTGGTTTGCTAATATGTAAGTGGCATAGCTAGTCCTTGTCATGAAGGTTTGAATTGGTAGGATGAGGGGATGTAAGTCATCTGAGCACTTTCTGTAGAAGTAGTGATAGAGCAGTGAGAGGCCTGACACATCCCGTCTGTGGGAGAGAGGTTGGAGAGTGGAGAATAATTCATCACCCACAAGGGCTCAGAGATGCTTTTGAACTTGATCAAGGTCTTGACAGCTCCCACCCAAATATGATAACAGTGTTGTATCCTTAAAAGAGGTTACAAACAGACAAAGGTGGTACTCAAGTGAAAGGAACAGCAACACGTGCATAAAGGAAGGAAAGAGAGATTTATTGTAAAAGAGAATACACTACTGAAAGATAGGGAATCGGTTAGCAGGCTAGTAATTCCTGAAGTCAGTCTGCCAGGTATATCCTGTTCTTACTATATATATCTACTGATATAATAAGTCTACATATGCAATAGGGTGTGTTGGAAATTCCATTACAACAGTATTCCATTTTTGATCTGATCTGGCTCTTATAAAGTTAGAGGATAGCAGAAGGAGTCAGGTACTTACTGGTGTAGTACAAGGAGCCGATTATAAAAACTACTTTTTATTGTACCAGACCAAAAATGTTGACACTTATTGCACGTATGTATTCATGTAGATATTTTCAGCTTGAAATTAGTAAATTAGTAAGCCAGAGTCTAGCTTATGAGACGAGAAAGCCTACTAGCTACAGTATAACAACTTAAATAAGTAACAGATGCAATTGGGAAGTAGTAATTTGCATGCCTCAATTCAATATAAAGCGAACCATGCTCTCCAACAAGTGAATGAAGGCAAGGATGAAGTGTCAAGATGAAAGAAAAGAGACATACACATGCAGAAAGATGGAAGACAAGAAATGCTATTTTGCCTAACAGATCTATCTGCTAGGAATTAAATGTGTTCCCATGCAAAGACGACAGGTACCATCGGTAGTAGATTAACCAAAAAAAAGAAAAGCCAACAAGCATTCTGACAACATGAAGACCCCTTCCAGAATAATATTAATGTCATATGGGCTTGCTTCACATAAGCACAGGTATCATGTTGAGGGTGGGAAAAAAATGGAATTATGTATTCAAGAACCAATTTTTGAGTTCAATTAATGATTCTGGAAATATATTTGCCTGGTTGCAAAAGAAATGAAAATGCCAGAGATAAGAAAGAATAAATGTAAGAGAGGCATATTTATTTTTATCTTTTATTAATTCATTTTATTTTTTCTTGAGTGGGAAGGAAAAGTAAAAAGAGACTGAAAGAAGAAAATGGAGTTTGATCCATAATATATAATAAAGAAAGTAAGAAACAAGGGAAGAAAGAAAAATGCTAAAGCAAGAAAGAAAAGGGGATAAAACTGGTATAGTGAGAAAGACAAGGAAATGAAAATAATATAGAAAGAAAGGAAGGAGAATGAAAATGGTGAAGCAAGAAAGAAAGGAGAATGAAAATGATATAACAAAAAGAGAGAGGGATGATAATGGTTAAGCAAGAAAGAAAGAGGAATGAAAATGATAAAGAAAGAAAGAGGAATGAAAATGGTAAAGAAAGAAAGAGGAATGAAAATGGTAAAGAAAGAAAGAGGAATGAAAATGGTAAAGAAAGAAAGAGGAATGAAAATGGTAAAGAAAGAAAGAGGAATGAAAATGGTAAAGAAAGAAAGAGGAATGAAAATGGTAAAGAAAGAAAGAGGAATGAAAATGGTATAAAAAGAGGAATGAAAATGGTATAAAAAGAGGAATGAAAATGGTGAAGCAAGAAAGAAAGGGGAATGAAAATGGTAAAGCAAGAAAGAAAGGGGAATGAAAATGGTAAAGCGAGAAAGAAAGGGGAATGAAAATGGTAAAGCAAGAAAGAAAGGGGAATGAAAATGGTAAAGTAAGAAAGAAAGGGGAATGAAAATGGTAAAGCAAGAAAGAAAGGGGAATGAAAATGGTAAAGCAAGAAAGAAAGGGGAATGAAAATGGTAAAGAAAGAAAGGGGAATGAAAATGGTTATGAAAGAAAGGGGAATGAAAATGGTAATGAAAGAAAGGGGAATGAAAATGGTAATGAAAGAAAGGGGAATGAAAATGGTAAAGCAAGAAAGAAATAGGAAAGGAAATGATATAGAAAGAAAGAAAGGGAATGAAAATGGTAAAGCAAGAAAGAAATAAGAATGAAAATGGTATAGCAGGAAAAAAAAGTGGAATGAAAATGACATAGCAAGAAATATTGTTATATAAGGAGAGGGTAGATATTAAATCACAGTTTCTTAACCTTTCTTTACTTAGAGGTACCCAAGCAGGTGAATGACTGTTAAAAATCTAGCATTCTATCTGAATTTTTAAGTAAAATAACCCAGAACCTATACTGTCAGCACACCACCGCTTTACAGAGAGAAGATGAATTCAGTAAATATACAAAAATAGAGATGTAAGACAAGGATTAGAAGTCCTACCAGGATTCATTATCGGCAGCCACAAACTTAACATAAGATATGCAGATGATACATTGTTTTAGCAGACATAGAAAGGCAAACCCTAAGAACTCCTACAGAATGTAGTTAAGGAAAATAAAAAGAACTAAACCTCAATTGTAAATTACAAATTAGAGATATGAAAATCAAACCTGTACAATAATTTAAATATATGGGAAGTTTTAACAGAGGTTAGAATGTGTGATATTGAAATCCAAAGGGACACTGGGTTAGTGAAAGGTACTTTCCAAAAGCTAAGCAAAGTATGAAGAGACAGGAAAATTTCAATAGAAACAAAGAAAAGAATACAAAATTTTCATGTAATAACACTACATTTATATGAAGTGAATGCTGGGCAATCTCCTCAAAGTTGAAGAAATGATGTGAAGCAACAGAAATGTAGTTCTATAGGTGAATGCTAAGAATACCATGGAAGGAATGAGTAAGCATCAACAAATTTTTAAGGAAGATTGAAACAAAAATAAAGCTTATTCTTAAAATCAGAAAGAGTTAAAATTTCTAGGACATATAATGAGAAAAGGCAGTTTGGAAAATTTGACACTCACAGGGCATATTGAAGGTGGTGGGATGGAGGAAATCTACACATAACCTACTTAATGGGCTTGTGTAAATAGATGGCAGACCAAACATACTCAGAGCTACAAAGGATAGGGAGTTGTAGAGAGGTACTATTTCTCATGTCCTGAAGAAGTAGTACAATGATTTATGATTTTAAGATTAGTTGCCTAACATTTTTATCATATAGGGTGATCTTTCTCTATTTGTAGGATTGTACGTAGGCAAGTAAATAAAAAGATAAAACTATGTAATAAATAAAAACAAAAAAACTAATTCCCACCTCCATGCAGATTTAGTGAGAGATAAAATTTTCCAGCAGCTAAACATAGAGTTGAGGTCAGATATCATTGTTTCTTGGCAGGGAACGTTTTTAGCATTTGAAAATTCAAACTTTCCAGTCAGATTTGATTATTTATTTTTTCAGAAAGATGAGGTCAACAAAAAAAAAATTTTCTTGACGTTTGGATAAATTATGCATATTATATCTATAAAGAGATTCTCAACTGAGACCTTTCGTGTATTGAATGAGGATTTTTTTCTCAAATTCAACTATGCAATATCTTTTCTATTTCAATCCTTCCTATCTAAGATCAGCTCAGTCTTACCTCTGAGCCAGAGTTGCAAGATTGAGCTACAAGTAATGAATCAGGCTAGATCTGAAATCTTGGCAATACCCAATTTTATTCACATTCAGACTAAGGTCTTCATCTTAATTGTTATTATCACAATGTTTCAATCCCTGTATCCTCCAGCCTTCCTCAGGGATCTGTTGAGATTGAGCTACAAGTAAGGAATCGGTCTAGATCTGAAATCTTAGCAATACTAAATTTTATTCACATTCAGACTAATGTCTTTATTTTCATTATTATTATCACAATATTTTGGTTATTGAATCCTCCAGTGTTTCTTAGGTGTCTGTTGATCGAGGTAACCTTCAAAGAATTATTTATATATACTATCCATAACTTTGTCTTTTTTCAGTGCTGCTCAGTTATTGCTTACTCTGTTTTCCATGGAGTTTGCCTGTACTACTTGGTCTAGTGACTGAACTCACAATTATTATACCAGCAAGTTCAGGGATAAAATGCTTTAATCCACAAGGAAACAATCATAGCTGGTGTTATTCTTGTCTGTGTATTTCTACCACTGCTGCTGTGCTACTTGACCTCCTTCACCACCACCTAACTTTTCTGACTGCTGCTTCTGAAGCTGTGCTAAATTTTGAATGAAGTAGACCAAATTAGCCTCAAAAGGCACACATTACAAAATTCATGATTTAGGAGCAGGAGGAGGCACGGTGGAGTAATGGATAGCGGCTTGGATTGAGGAATCGGAGAGCCGAGTCCGAATTCCAGTTGAATCCATTACATTCACTTGCGTGCTAATACCCTTGGAAACGGTGTGAATCATCTTCTCCCTCCAGCTTTGGGTAAATAGCAGGACAGACTGGGTTTTATAGCCTTGGATGGCAATTGGTCTAGGAGAAGGAAAACTCTGAATTCAAAACCTGCGGAGGGTCATTTGGGGACCTTGTGGCACATAGTGCACCAGGTCTCTGTAATCAGCCCTTCAAAAAACAAAAACGTGTGGATGGTCCTGTACTAAACCTTCACCACTATAATCAAATCTCATGTGCTATACATGCGGGTTGGGGACCACTTGTGAATTCCAAATTCCCACGAAACTCCAATATCAGAGCTGGCTCAACCCACCTCAGGTGTATTTACTTGACCCCCCACTGAGTCAGGTTGTGACACAAGGTCAGTTTTTAACGTGGGGACCCGAATGTTTTCACTCGGGCCGCTGGTCCAAACCTGGTCTTAGCTTGTCAGAGCTGGTCTAAGCTAGTCATAGCCATGATACCACCAGCCCAGGGACGAGGCCTGTGCCAGGTAAGTATGCATTACAAGAAAGACAAGGAGAAGAGCAATGGGATTTCAAAAACAGTCCAATCTGGCAAACCCTGGATATCACCTTTTCTATTGCAGAAAAAAAAGGGTCATGGTTTACTAACATCTTTACAGTATTAGCTTCAAGAGACTCAAAAGTGTTGATAGGCCCTATTATTACTATTACACTTTTTTTGCTAGTTTTATCCCAATTTATTGTTACATTTTTATTACAACAGTGAACTTTTCATTAATAGCATTTTACTACTGGTTTTACTTTATTAATGTTGCTCTTTGTAACAGTCCTTTTTCTTCTTCTATGTGCTGTATTCCTTCTTGATATGGATGATGATGGCTCTCCACAACTTCCTGTCTCTTGTAGCCCTAAGCAACATCTGACTCTTTGCCTTTCTTCCTTGTTCCCACTCTACCATCCAGTCACACAAACAAACCAAGCAGGTCACTGTCAATGTCATACCAGAATTAATAATTTCTAATTTCAGATTTTGTAAATTTAAAAGACATTTTAATTCACCTTTTTTTTTATTTTACAATTATTTTGTTAAATCAGTTACTTTTATTTGCCAGATAACTTGGTTAATATCACAAATGAAAATATGATATTACTCCAAGCATTATTCAAAATGAATATCCACGTTTAAGTAGACACTCAGTTTTCCAAACAGTGCTAATTACATCTCCCAGCCTACACATACAAGAGACCTAATAAAGAAAATATGCTCTCTGGCAAGGTTTGAAATTGCATCCCTCTTTGTAGGAGAAACCACCACCTGATCTGACATGCTGTATACTGCTCAGCCACCAAGAGTGTCACAACCCAGTATGGTTCAATTGCTCTGTTAAAGAATGTACATTGTTTCATTCTGGTTTCCTTAAAAACATATGTGCTCAATTGTGCACCCAAAATGTAAACAAAGATGTGAAGGCCAATCACCATGCTGCTTAAAAAAAATGGGACATAGACTCAAAAATTGGTATCTGTTAAAAATATTATACAGAGTAATAAGAAATAATGCCGGATTAAAAAATTAAAAAAAAATCCATTAATTTTTATGATAGGAAAATCTATATATGAGACATATGGTGGATCATTGAACAACAAAATGGGGGGGAAAAAACTTTGTTCTAAGGATGAAATGCTTATAACAGGGGATCTTTTTCACTTTATCATTAAACATGCCACCCTCTCTATGTTGTTAAAGGTATGCAAGGATTGAAGAAAATATATAATGCATATCTATTCTCTATGATAATTCTCAATAATGCCACTATTATGCAAGGGATTACTGAGAGTAAAAGAGAATGAGAATACTTTAGTGAGGAGAAAGGACAATAAAAGAACAGGTTTCAGAAAGATAGAAGACAGCAATTGGTGTTTCATTTAAATTTTTGAAGACTGCAGGTAGCAGGGAAGCAAGAAATTGAAAGAGTTCCACAGGGAAGAAGTGTGACAAAAAAAAACTATTAAAATACAACATACAGTTGCATCTAACAGTAAAACAATGAGATATAGTTGACAATTTGGTAGTGTGCTTAAATCCATGCAGTTGCGACATCAAGGAGGAATACTTATTTGAACAATTGCCATTAAAATATTTGTAGAAAAGACACCAATGAGAAAGGGACTGAAGTGGAAATGCCAGGTCAGGATCAATTATATTACAGACACTTCTTTGAATTTTATCAAGAATGTCGAAATATATAGTCAGAGCAGCAGATGTCACTACCATTTACTCTTGTCTCAAAAACAACTCCGTCAGCTCTGACAAAGTAAACCTGGCAGCTTCTCTTGAAAAAGACCTCCAACCACTGGAGCAAGAAATGGCTTGTAAATTTTAGCACCTCAAAAACAAAACTGCTTTAATTTAATCACCACAGAGAAGCTTTTTCTGCCTGCCTAGATTCCAGGAGAGTAGCATACAGCACCTTTTTGGCCTCACGTCTTCCACTGACATGAAGTGGAGTGATTTCTTTTTTGTTTTTTTTAAGCAAATCACCCCAAGCCAGGTAGGAGTGCCACTAGCACGCAAGGGGTTACAGAGAATGAGAGTAAGAGTAAAGAGAAGTGTTTGGGAAAAGGATAAAGAGAAGGACAGGTATCAAAGGTCAAAGCATCAGAAGATGTCAATTGACATTACATTTGAATATTTGAAGATTTATATCTGTCAGGGAAGCAAGTGACGGGAAGGGAGCTCCAGTGACGGGAGGTGTGAGATAAGAAGCTCTCGGAGTAGAAGAGATGGCTACCTTTAATCG